TTAAGTTTTAGAAAAATCTGCTTAGTTTAGCAAAATTTTATAAAAATAATGACTTAATACACTGACTACCAATAAGTATTTGGACATGCAAATGACGATATCTGCAGTCCTAAGGTACGTCACAGACTTCGCCGGTATATATCGTGTAGGAAACAGCATCGGCTTTAGTCACATGCAAGATGACTCGCAGTTCGGAGCTCCCTGATTTCGAGAAAGGTATAATTATTGAGTATCACAAATGTGACCGATCCTTAAGGGACATATCTAGCGATCTGAAGTACCCAAAATCGACAGTGGCCTATGTGATTAAGAAGTGGAAGGTGAGCAGTGACTGTCGGAATGTGCCCCGAGTCGGCAGACCAACGAAACTGGGAGATAAAGACCGACAAGTGCTGTCCAGAGAAGTTCGTAAGAACCGCACCCACCGATGGCCCTCATCCGCGAGGAGTTTCAACAGACATCCGGGAGTATTGTTTCAATGAATACAATCCGTAAGGAAGCACATCTGCTTGGTTTTCATGGTCGTGCTGCTGCCCATAAGCCTTTGATCACAAAGTCCAACCGCGCTGCTCGGTTAATGTGGTGCAAAACACATCGAAATTGGACCGTAGATCAGTGGAAATGGGTTCTTTGGAGTGACGAATCAAGGTTCACCCTTTACCGTTCAGATGGCAAGTCTGGGTCTGGCGTCTACCTGGAGAATGTCTCCTGTCAGAATGCATTGTGCCAACAGTCAAGTTCGGTTGGAGGTGGAATTATGGTCTGGGGGTGTTTCTTCTGGTATGGGCTGGGACCCTTGGTCCCCATTCATGGTAAACTCAACTCCGAAGCCTACTGCACTATTTTGGATGACAATGTGCTTCCTACGTTGTGGCAGTTTTACGGGTTGGACCCCTGTTACTTTCAGGACGACAATGCCAGTTGTCATGTTTCGACGTTAACCAAGGCTTGGTATGGTGCCAATGGAGTTCATCGAATGGACTGGCCTGCCCAGAGTCCAGACCTGAACCCTATCGAGAACCTCTGGGACGAGTTGCACCGCCGAATTCAGGGGTGCACTACCCGTGCAAAATCGGTGAAGGAACTTCTATGTTTTCTCCAAGCCGAGTGGAACAAAATACCACAGCTGTCATACAAAGACTTGTGGAAAGTATGCCCCGGAGGGTCCATGCTGTAATTACTTCTCGTGGAGGCTCTACCAACTATTGATTTTGAATAAAGTTAGTTTTTCTTTTCTATCACAGGTGTCCAAATACTTATTGGTAGTCAGTGTACTCCAAGTGCTCTTTTTGCATGTGAGAATATATGAAACATCTGTATGTAAGTTGCTTATGAAATAAATTTAAGTATTTATTTCTAATGGAAAATGTGAATTATTAAAAATTTAAGCTTTGAAACTAACTATGATGAGGCGAGTCTTGACCTTTTTGCCTTTTCATTTAGCAATTTTACATTGCATTCATCTATGGCAGTATAATAATAATGTTGTAAAATGCTCTAGGGAGAGTAAAGCAAATTTAAATTGTATTAGTTTTCTCGTGTATATATATATGTGTGTAAGAAAAATAAAAAATATGTTAAAGATTAAATTAGCAGAGAAAATTAATTTCCTTTCTCTATTCTAAAAATAGCAACATCTATTTGCACTGCGTCATTTCCAGAAAAATCTGTGTCATATGACTCTTACGTAATTCTGGTTATGTAAACTGAACTAAAACTCAAGCAGCCAATAATAATTTTACAGCAATATTAGCTATCCAATCAAAATGCTTTGAAAACCAAAACTAACTCAGTCTGACTTTAGATTTCATCCTGAACATTACACACTTGCTTTCCACGTTTTGCCTTAGGTGGACTGCAGTCTGTCTGCTGCTTCTTTCTTGCTACAAAATTATCAAAAATGTAAGCCCTTTGGAACAGGCATATTTAATGTGCCGACTTGTGTTTAACCGCTACATGTTGCTGAAAATAAAATTGAAGATTTAATCTTCATTCGCTTTCAAATTCTGCTCGTCATTATGGATCAGCATTCTACGACAGAAGTTAGTACAAAATATTTTGTTGGTTTGTCACTCTGAGTATGTCGGTTACTTAAAGAGGACTATGTATATGTTATAAATCAGGTAGCATAGTAAATGCTATAATGTTTTATCATTTGTACTTTTCTCGGTAATTTGCAAGTAGAAAGTTCTAAATAACTTTTTCAAACAGCTTCCCTTCCCCGATAATCACTAATCAGAAAAATAAAAATCTGAAATTAATCCTGCAATTTTTGTTGACTTTGAATTTTTTAATTAAATTTCAAATGTGTATGGTATATAGCTTGTATATTTTAAAATGGTGTTCTTACAATGTATGTTGTTATGCAAGCTGTTTAATTAAGTTGTAATAAATTGAAGTATCATACACAGTTTATAAATATGTTTTATTTGAATCTGATTGATGAATTTATTCCTCCACAATTTTTGCTTTATGTTTGAGAATAAGTTATTACTTTCCCGGTGTTTAAGAAATAAATTAAGGCTCTACTCTTCTATGCGCCCTAATACAGTCAAAAGTCGTTAATTCGGACACCCATAATCCGGATCCCAAAGCTAAAAACTTTCTGCACATGCGCATAGGCATTTACACGTGCGCGTAAGACCTTTACGACTGCGCATATGCGTGTGCGCAAGTGCAGAATACGTTTTTGCGTGTTCATTTTATGTATAACGAATGGTATAAGCTAAAATTATCTAATTATATATTTCAGTTAATGTTGATGATTGCATTGTTTCTTAATCTTCGAATTGGATCCTGCTTATTATTTTTTGCAGACCGTAAGAGCAATTTTATAAAAGTAAACTTGAATTTTCGATTATGTCAAATAGAATTTCCAATGCTGGAGCTCCCAAAGGATCTACAAAACTAAAGTATGTTTCGATGTTCATCAAACAAAAAGTGGAATTGCTGCAAAAAATGGATAAATTCATGAAGAAGGTGACAGAGAGGTTAGTGAAAACGAAAAAATTTCGATTGACAAGTTAGTCGGTATTCTCGGCACAGCAATTACGGGACTCGAACAGCGGAACTTTGTAACTGAACAAGAATTATGTCTGTTTATAGAATTAAAGAGAAAGTATTATCACATAAAATGAAGCAACTTAAACAACTTACATTGAAAAAAATGTTTAATAAAGTAAACAAATAAATATTAAGCTTTTTTTTTTTTTTTTTTTTTTTGTAAATTTTAATATCCTTTGGATCATAATTGTTCTTTATTTCATAAATTACGGTTTCATATTTTTAATTTTACAATTTCTGCCTGCCATCTTACAAGATTTAAACTGATGATCTATAATCCGGAATCGCCGAAGTCCCGACAAATCCGGATTAACGACTTTTGACTGTATCACCAAATGCGGCAATATGTATTCTGTGCTGGCTTTTGGTGCGATTACGTGTTGTATGGCAACCCTGTTGACGTTGAAAAATCTTTTGCTGGAGTGGTGTAATTGCTCGTTGGTTCATGACATGCATGTTTTGAAATGGCCTATGTTGCAATGATAGACGTGGTGGCAAGATTTCAGTCGCATATTTTAGATTGTGTAGAACGTAAATCTAGTATTAAAAGGTACGATGTTGGAGTTGTTAATGAGTCTTTTGTTCACGAGTGTGTTTATGAGGATTGAAATGTATTTTTGGAATTTCTGCGGGACTTTTAAAACGAAGTCTGAAATATGGAGCTGCTATGAGAACTCGGACAAAGAAGGGCGTTTCTGATAGTTCTTGTGTGGATTTGCAGTTAAATAGTTGCTGGTAAAGTATGTGGCTGTCAGCAGAGTTTAAGATTAGGATTGTGGTTTTGATGTAGTAAGTTAACTTTGGAGGAAGTTTTTATCGTTACTTTTGAAATTTTGGATCTCGGAAAGACATGTGATATAGCAAAATCATGGCACTTTTGTTCAGAGACGTTGTGTGACCGTCGAAATGTTATTCAGGAATGTATTATGGTAAGTGCATTTTATTTTAATTTTTATTTTGTAGAATGTTATCTTCATTGTTTTTTTATTATGAATTTCAGTTGTTGTTGTTTGAATTGCTTGTAATTTAGTGTAGTTTATTTGGTTGATTTGTGCGTAGTGTCTAGATTATGCAATTTGTAGATGTTTTTTGAAGTTAATACATATCACTGTGTATATGGATTCTTGTCAAATATTTTTGGTAAGAAACTTAACATTTTTGCTATCTAAATTTTTTGTTTCGGATTTTTAGCTTAAATTGTGTCTTCAAAATGTAGTTTTTGCATGTGCGAAAAGTGCGTTTTTGGAGACTTTTTAGGCTTAAAATTCGAAATGTAGACAAAAAATTTAGGTAGTAATATGGCAGCGGGGAGGTTTGGTGAGAAATTTGATGACTTGAGGGTGCATATAAGAGGAGTTCCTAAATTAACAATAGCTTTTTCAAAATATAATCATATTTTTATTATTGGCAAAATTATTTTTTTTTTCCCTTATTCTATGTCAAGAGACCTCTTTGTTTATTTTTTGGAATAGAAAATCTTTTCATTAGAAATCTTTAAGATAATTCATAAAAAAAGGTATTTCAATTGGTATGCACCTCTTATCTCAGTTATGTCTCAAAAACGAAGAACTGCAAATCAGGTTTTGGGTGTGAAAATAAAGAGTTATATTTTAGTTAGAAATACAATTTTAAGCAGCATATGAAAAGATAGAAAATTTGTAGTTATCATCTAAAGATTTATTAAACATTTAGAATGTATTATTTATATGTCAGTCATCCTGAGTTGATTAACTAGTAATAGTTAATCAACTCAAGTAAAATTAGTAGTAATATTAGTATAAAATGTCATTTATAAAGAACATTTTCAATTTATTTTTTACATAATAATTTCATACAATAATTAATAATTTAACACAATAATGCCATCTGTTTAATGTTTTTGTTTTGCCAAACCCATGTTTAAATTTTAATTTGCAGTTATATTTCCTTTGCTGTAGGTGTAATAAAGCCTGAGCCTCCATCAGTTTCAGATTTACGTACTTTCTTAAATGAAATTCAGCTCTCAAAATATTATCATGTTTTTGAAATGCATGACATTGATTTGGATACGTTCTTGACATTGACAGAGGAAGATTTGATGGAAATTGGTATACAGTGAGTGTATCATATTTGTATTAGTAATAGTTGTTGTATTTTACAATTATACAGTGTAATTCAGAAAGAATCACCCGAATTCAAATTTTTATAATTTTAAATATTAATGGAATACAATGATTAATGTAAATAGAATGTAAAGGAAATTATCTAAATTTTAGTGTAAACAATAGGGGGCAATACTTTGGTGTTTAAAAAGTTCAGTAATTGTAATTTGCATGATGTCAATCAAATTCAATGAACTGATTGATTTGGTGTTTTTAATCACAGAGCCTTTAATTCTTCAAGTATTACCCTCTGCTAATTCTTCCTTTGAATAAATGTAAAAAAATTAGATGCTTGTGCTGCAAGCTGAGACAGACTTAAAAATTTATTTCTACTTCTTTAGAAACAGTCACCATTGACACATGGCAGTGTGTTTAGCTAGAATTTCGATATCCCCTTAACCCTTTGTGGCTCAGTGTTTCACTACATGGAACACCCAAATTGAATCGCTTCTGAAATCTTTAAATTCAACCATAAATAGATAAAAATGCCTTTATAATATACTTTGAACTTTTCTTTTTAAACAGTAGATAGCAGCATATCAAAAGGAGACACAGAATTTTCATTTATTATGTGTTATTAAAATCCACTTTTTTCAAGTAATTTTCTCTATTTTTTTAATGATATAAAAAAGTTTATTTGGAAAAAAAAATTAGGCATAATTTTGCTGTCCAAATTATTTGTTCTTTATTTTTTTTAATCTTTCATACAAAAACCATATGCAGAATCATTGAATAAAATCAGGTGTTCCATTAGGGGAACACTGCACCTTTAGCGATCTCATGCTGTTACTAATCAGAACATCTGTGCTTAGGAGAGAATATCCGTTGTTTTGGGGGGAATGAATTCAAACAAAGCAATATTGAGGGGTGAGGTGTGTTTCGTGTTATGAAAGCCCTAATATTGGCATCTCGAATTTTTGGGGAGTAGTTTTTTAGGCGGAAATTTTATTAGTAGCTTGATTCATCTTTACTTAGACCTGCGCGAATTTTTTGCTGTTGTATTTTAATATCATTCCCGTTTATTTTCAATAATTGTGTAGATATTTTTTGTGTATGTTTATATTATAGGCTTATTTTTCTTTATTGTTAATATTAATCGTAGTTATTTTTTTTTATTATTAATTTTCCATAAATGGCACGGAGAGGTCTAACTCTTTCCGAAAATTTGTAAATATTTTTGTATATAGGACTTGTGTATATAGATATTTATCTCATTTATCCGTATATATTCAAGAATATCGTGTATATCCAGGAAACCATGTATACAGCCATAATACAGAGTTTTTTCATTCTTATACAAACGCTTCTACTCATTTTCATGCTTCACTGCAATGCTTGCTTAGTCGCACTTTTAAAAGCTCTGGCGGCGCAGTGTTCCACCTCATGGAACACCCACAGAATTAAAGCGGTAAGTGCGATTTTTACAAAATTTTACCTGTGTACTCCTTTAGGACTGAATAGACTGCATACAACTTTTTTTGTTGAAATTCCGACGTTAACGTATAGTGCGCCGCAAAGGGTTAACAGTACATTTGTAATTAAAGAAAGTTGTATAAACATTTATGTATAAAAAAAAAAATTAAATCTTTCTTTTACTTGTTTGTGTATGACTTATAATTCTATCTTGTTAATTTTTAAAGTTTAAAAAATTCAAAAGTCTGATAATTCTTTCTGATTTATCTTATGCATTAAATGAACCTTGATTTTTGGTGTGTATGTAATTTAGATATGAAGATGTAGATACTTATGATCATGACCAGTCTAATATTTCTTTATTTCCATTGTCAAACACATTTTTAAACGGATACACATAAATTGGGGCAGTAAACATGCTCATTCTTGAATAAATTTTACATTTTTATTATCTGAAGAAAGAAAGTATAGTAGCTAAGAACTAGCAGGTTGGCAGAACGGAAACAAGAGAAGGAATTTGATGTAATCAAGATAAAATCTTAATTTAGAATGATTTAGTTTTGACATATTCATTTGAAAAAGTTACTATCGGTATTAATCTGTTATATAGCAAAGAAGAACCATATCAGTGATATTATTCATGATAGGACCTTGAGAAGATTAAAAGCTGGCCACAAACCGTCAAGTGTTACAGATCCTCAGATATTCAAAAAGTTTTTGAAAATATTTACAAACTGAGAGAAATGAGTATATATTCATGTTTGTAAGTTTAAGAGTATGGCAAATAAAAAGAGAAGTATTTATTCAAATTCAGATGTTTTACTTCTGATCAATTTTTGTGGTCTTGAATTTTATTTCTCAAAGTTCCAGGTTCTTGATACAAGCTGGCTTAGTCTCACATTAATTAAGAATGTCTTATCATTTTACGCATGGTCTGGACAAGACTCGGTATATTCCTTTGAGAGCTTGATGTTGCAGCAAAAAGACCCAGTGCTCCTAGACTGATTGCTTCTTAAAGGATGATTGAAGTTATTTAATTCTTATAAATGCTTAGGAAATCATTTTTTTACTTTCAGAATAAACTTATATTTGTCTTTGATATCATCTGCATTTTCAATTACCACAATTTACTCACTCTTCCTTTCTCAAGCTCTTTCTCCCGCTCCCCCCCCTTTTTTTTTTTTTTTGTCTCATCAAGCCTGCTGGTAAGGTCTTGGGATAGCAATATGAAAATGTACAGATGGCAGTAGTATCGCATAATGTAAAGTAATAAAATGTATAAATGGGTACTGCATTAGCAGAGCTTTCGTTTGAATTCAAGTTATTGATTTGAAAAGGTTTCTAACGTGATTATGGTCGCACAACGGGAATTAACAGGAGCTAAATGCTTGCAACATTCCATTTCGAGAATCATTAGGGAATTCAATATTCCGAGGCCCATAGCGTCAGGAGTTTGCAGAGAATACCTAATTTCAGGCATAACCTCCCTGTCATGGACAACACAGTGGCCAACCACCTGCATTTAATGACCTGGACTGGTGATGTGTGCATAGAATTATCAGTGTTAACAGACAAGCAGCATGCATAAAATAACCATAGAATTCAATGTGGGACATATGAGGGACGTGCCTGGTAGGACAGTGCATTGAAATTTGGCTTTAATGGGTTATGGCAGCAGAAGACCAAGTCGAGTGCCTTTACTAACAGAACAACATCACCTGCAGTGCTTCTCATGGGCTTGTGACCAAATTAGTTGGACCCTAGACAACTGGTAAACCGTAGCTTGGTCAGATGAGTTAAAATTTCAGTTGCTAAGAGCTGATAGTAGAGTTCGAGTGTGGTGCAGACCCTGCAAAACCACAGGTTCAAGTTGTCAACAAGGCGCTATACAAGCTGGTGGGGCTCCATAGTAGTGTGGGCTATTTTTTCATGGCATGGCCTGGGTGCTCTGGTCCAACTGAACCAATCATTGACTGGAAATGGCTATGTTCACATGGAGACCACTTCCAGCCATTCATGGACTTAATGTACCCAAGCTGTGATGAAATTTTTATGGATGACAATGCATCATGTCACCAGGCTAGAACTGTTTGCCACAACTGTAGCAGCAACATGGCTCAATATTTCTGCAGGGGACTTCCAACAACTTGTTGAGTCCATGCCACGTCAACTTACTGCACTTTGCCAGGAAAAATTAGGTCTGACACGATATCAAGAGGTATCAATGACTTTTGTATTTATATAAAGTATAAAGTATATATATATACTTTTTTAACCATGTTTATGTACCTATATGTGTAATCCTACCCTAAATGATCTCATTAGCCAAAATTTCATCTATTAAACTACTTCATACACAACATAGGCAAATTTATTCATTATATGTGTCGAATGAAATTGGACAGGACTAAAGGAATCTGACCTAATGAATGGAGAGATTTGGTAACTTGGTACTAATAAGATTTGACTATATGAAAGTTTTATATTTTATTGCTTTAAACTTCTAAATTTGTTCATTTTTTGTAAAATAAATCTTTATAAATCTATGATAAATATTTAAATTAGTTTTGTGTCTCTTATAAATATTACTGTAATTTTTATAATTCAAATTATTAAAGCCTTTTAGGTCCACGCAGAAAAATGAGCTTAGCCATAGCTGAGTGGTATGAAAATCAATTGGTGAGTGGAAAAACTCAAGGAAATTCATATATTAAAAAGTTAGTTACAGAAAACCAGCATTTAAATCATGAAGTTCGTAAAGTAAGTATTTTAAAATAAAATTCTTTTTTCCATTGTAAACCTAGTTTAAATAACATTTGAGATATTATTAAATCTTTGTTCATTTAACACATATAACTTTGAATTCAACAGAATTAATTTGGAAGTTTGTATTTTACAACTTTTTCTTTATTGTTTTACCTAATCCATTTGCCTTTACATAATGCTTTTAATTTTGCAGGTAAAATAATGTAAATAATATTTGTTCCAACTAAACCAGAAATATTTTGTAATAATTTTAGATTAGATTAATTTCTTACACAAAATGTAGTAGATTATTTTACTAAGGAGAAAGATGCTTTCGTAAAAGATTTGTTAAGGGAATTGTCATTTATTTTATGTAAGGGCAAAACCTTACCTTTCAGGTATCCATTACTAGCAACTGAAACTAGGATAGACCGTTAGTGCCTTGCAGCTTTGACTCTTCAGCTGGTGGTAAGCTCATCACACCACAGTTATGTAAAAAAGCTGATTGGCAGATGTAAAAAAAGAACCATGAGATTAAAATCTTGTATAATCTGTTGGTTGTTGCATACATACAGCTTCGCAATGGATTGAATGCACACAAAATCTATGATAACTGAATAAATTTATTTTCGCAAAAGAAACAGTTTATAGTTTTGGAACTTTTCACAAAAGCATTCGTATAGCTCTTTTCAGTATGACAGAGCACAGTCAATAGTAGTTGGGAACATTAGCCTTTTCCGGATGGGTATCACATATACGCATTCCCTAGGAACATCTCTCACAACCAGACGTCCCACCACTGAAAAATGCACATTAGGCATGGGTGATGCATATATGCATTTGAAGCTGAAACATTTTTCAAAGGCCACTAGATGGCATGCAGTATCCAATACTTTTGTTCTTAATATAGTTTTAGGATATTTACCTTCAGTTTGATCACATTTTGTGTAACTTTGGTGTCAGCTGTTGCGGGGAAGGGAGGGGGAAGTGTAGTGTAAACAAACAGAGCTCAGGTTCTTTAACTCGCCCTGTGATACAAACCATTTGCGTCTCTGGTATCCCTTTGAATCTTTTTTTTATGATTTGTTCCCTACTATGTAGGGTCTTTTATGGTTACTATGGAGGGTTCTATTATTATTATTTGCATTGCTTTTATAGCTTATACTTTGCATATGTTGCTTTTGATTTCGGAAAACCTTCACTTAAGTTTATTATGGTGAGCAAGCTTTTTTTATCAAAGGAATGATATACTTATATTGCAAATGACTCAATTAATAACATGGATGAGAGTGATGATTCATTTTCTAAAGAGTTAGAGAGCAATATTTCTAGTAGTTCTTGTACAGACATTTTGTCAGGAACTGAAATCACTGAGAGTCCGCTTTCCACTTCTGATAAAAGATTTTGTTACTTCTTATAATAGTCTTTCTTGAACATTTTTATTAATTTCAAAGTTTGTTGATGTATTTTGTTGATTAAAATTTTGGAGTAATTTGAATAGTGCTTCTGAAAATTATTTCTCAACGTAAGCAATTTTTGTATGTATTTTCACGTGAAGTAAAAGAAAAATATTATTAAATGCTAGTTTCAACATATATGAGAGCTTGAATAATAATCTAAAATACTATAAAAAATTCTGACATTAGGAATTAAACCTTTTTTTTTGTGTGTGTGGTTTTTTTTTTTCATCTAAAGTTAGGCTTAGTGAAACAAAACCCTGTCCCATGGAATGATTCCTTTCATGTCATCATTACAAAGACATGCCATCTTGAAAGGCTTAAACACAATACAATGCAAAGATCATCTAAAGAGTGAAGCTTGGACAGATTAATATTTCGAACTCAACTCTTAACTAAAAACTGAGAACTGCATAGAGACATTAGGTATTTTTTCGAAGCAGGCAAGGTGAAAAATTAGCAACACCCTCGCCAGGAATCGAACCGCGGACCTCTTCAATACGCGCCCAGTGTGCAGACCACCACACCACGAAGGCATGAAGAAGGCGGGAGAAATACATTATATACTCCTCCCTTTTTAAGGTCAACTGGGTTTTCAAGGAACCCAATCGCCATATCATGTATATAGAGAATCATCATCCAACATCCTTTTAGTTCGGGCACCACTGTAGAATCATTAGGTATTTTTTGGAAACAGGATTGATGAAAAATTAACAATGCCTTTTTGTCAGGAATCGAACCACGGACCTCTGGAATACCAACCCAGGATGCAGAACCACTACACCATGAAGGCATGCTAGGAAGGCCGGAGAAATACCTTATAACTGATGCTCTCTCCTGTCTTATATAAAGCAGGGGTTCTCAAATTCATTTTTCAGGGGTATCGGTGGTATGCAAGAGAAAAATAGATGATACGCAAAGAAGCAAGCATTTTTAACTATTGAATTCAAAAATTAAAACCCCAACATCCTGATTGAGTTTTTTCTCTAACACTCGTAAATTTATGCGATCTGAACTTTGTTCAAGAATTGTGATGGTAGTAGTACTCTGTTGTGCTGGTACTAAAGGCTTTCAGTTTTTGTTTAGATGGTATGTGTCATTTAAAAGGTTGAGAACTGCTGTTATATAATATTTCTCCAGCAGCTAAGAAATTTCCAGTACCTTTGGTTCGTTGAAACTCCTGGAAGGCATATACAGTTGCAGTTACTTATAAGGGTGGATACATAAGCATTTAGGTCAGTTACATTTATACAGAGACCAAACCACATTGTCGCCATGTTTGGTGACTTTTAGCGATTTCTCTCCAAATTTGGCAATAAAAATTAGCCACCAAAACCATTGCCACCCTGGCGATACCTCACCAATTAAGCAAGATAGACATTTACCTCAATGTTAAATAGACTTGCCCCTGTAATCTAATTTTTCTTGCAAAGCTTCGATGTCTTAAAGGCCATTCATTTTAATTTGTAAAATTGTCCTCTTCTCAAGGACTGCATGTCGTGAGCAGTGCAAACACTCTATAGGAAGCCATACTTACAGCTAAAGCAAATCAATGTAATACTAAACCACTAATTTCAGAAAATAACGAATCAAATACTAACTCAATAAATTAGTGCATAAACTTAGAAATTTAGAAACAAATAAGAGTATGGTCTTATATTATTTACATTATATATGCAATGGGCACTACATACTATGGCCGTAGTTGAACTAGTCTGCCCTAATGAATGACTTTAGTAGGCTTAGAATTTGGTGACTTATGGATCTGAACTATGATGCCATTCAGCCTGTTTAGGACTGTGTAAGGACCGTCTCAAGGTGACTGTAGTTTAGGAGAGAGTACTTTCCGTCGAATCGGATTCTTCAACCACACCTTGTCACCTTTGTTAAATAGATGTCCTCTAGTGTTGTAAAAGTCTTCATTTTCTCTGTCTCATATAAAATTGTGCATCACTTCAAACCATGCCTGGAGATTTTTTATATACTCCTCAGGTGATGAAGATACATCCGGAGGGAGACACCAAACAAGAGATCTCAAGGCTGGTGAAAGTCATAACCGAAGAACATGTGAGATGGAGAATAGCTGGTAGTCTTGTGGACAGCACTGCAGCAGGCCAGTAAGAACAGAGATAATGTGGGGTCCCAGGCCTGTTGGTTTCTGGAATCCATTAATGAGTGTTTATTAAGGATGGCTTACATGTCATTTGAGTGGATGTAAAGGTGTCATTTGGGTTTTGTCTATGCCAAATAATGTACAAAACTCTGTAATTATAGATGAGATAAAATTCTTTTCGTGACTGGAATGTAATTGAAGAGTCACTCCAAACCTGGAAATCCAATGTTGCATTATTACCTGTACTACCATAGCCTCTTGATCAGAGATAGGATATGATTCAGACCACTTTGTAAAGTAATTAATGACAATGAGGAGGTATTTGTTTCCATCAACAGATCCTGGCAGATGTCCCAGGATGTTGAAAGCTACGTATTCAAAAGGTACTATTACATGGAAATGTTGTAGCTTCTCTTAACTCCATTTCTTTGGGGCTTTCTGTCTTCCGCCAAGTATCCCAATATTGGCACCACTTTTGCACATCAGCCCTTTCTCCTGTAAAAGCACTTTTGAACTCTGTACAGAGTCTTCATTATTCTGAAGTGGCTTCCTGTTGGACTGCCATGTAGTTCTTTAAGGACATCCATGATCTTAAAAGTATCAGTTGCCATCAGAATGCCTTCATATTGCCTGATTTGAAATTCCGGTACAAAACACCATTTCGAATATGGAGCGAGTCTCGGAGAACCCAATATTATTTTGTTATAGGACTACAGATCGAAATCCCTGCCACATAGGTTTCTTATTTGAAGGTTTCATTAAGTCAGTTATGGGTTTCATGTGGCCATTTTTCAACTGGCCTTTCCTGATTTTTTCGTCACTCCATAGGTCTGGGTCAGATGATGCTCCATAGATCTGGGCAGATGGTCTTGACGTACTACCAGATTAAAAGCAGCTCGTATTTTGCTTTGACCATGGAACAATATCAGCAACTTTCTGGATAGGGCCTTCAAGACAGCATGTCACCGTTTCCATGCAATGATCCTTTCTGATGACAGATAGTGATGTCATATTTCTGGAGTCTCTGTAGTCATCTAGGTATTTGACCTTCAGAATTCTTGATATTCAACACTCTGAACAGTGCAGGTTTATGGAACTGTCAAGAAGACCAGTATTTAAACATAATTTATTAGCTAAATTTGTATAACTATTTGTTGTAGTTTCTCTTTTCGTAATCTGAGATTCATTAAGATATTGTTAAAGGAAGTAAGAAAGCAAAATATCTTAAATTATAAGCTAATATGTACAAAAAATATCATGACCGGTTAAAGCTGGTCATGCCGCTCAAGAGTTTTAAGAGCCAGATCAATAAAACATAGTCTCTGTGGAGCAGGAATTTTCTGCTATAGAGGTAATGGTAGAAATGCTCTGGAGCTTTAACTATGATGAGCAAATTATACTTGATGGCACAGTAATTCCTTTCCGGTTTAGATAGACACTTACTC